AAATAATTGTCATAATTATAACAAGGATTCAGATCCTTTATTTGTAATTTTTATACTCTGTAGCCTTTGCTATAATATTAACATTAAATGAACAACGAAGAGGCTGAACAAGTAAGCAGTGAGCTGTATAAATTCGGTTTATGTGAAGCAGCAAGTTAATTGCATCGAACGTACACATAACACACGTGTGAGAGTTCTTAAACAAAAATATGTATGCGTAGAAAATTTATTAGTCTTTAAAATTAGAGAATTTCAGCCAAAGAAGTATATTATTCATAATTTATCATGAGCGAAATCGAAAAATGACAGATAAAGCATGAAAATAGCTTTTTTAGTCTAATTTGTTGGGAATTATCAAAATATAACAATAATTATTTAATGACATAATACAAAACTAAATTTCGTAATCCTATCTATCTCAGATACGTTATTACGAGATATTCTAAAAGTGTTGTATAAAGTCTTCTCAAACATCTTTGTAAAACATGTTTCCCATCTTAAGAATAAGACAAAATTCCTCTTAAATGAAGACAATATTTCAGTTGTATTGCACGTTACGAGGCCTGCACTTTGTCCCAACGACTCTCACAGTTTACAGCAAATGGCGCACGAATAAAATTGTCCCGCTGACTTACAATTGGCGCGTGACGCGACGCCAGCGCCCCCGCCACGACCTGCGTCCCGCACTGCAATGCTCAAGGAGGAATATTTTAAAATAAATTCGGTTCAAGTTTCTTTTAAAACATTCCATGGTTGTGAAGTCTTTTCCTTATCACAACGTCACGTATGTCACGTCAACGTGTAAGATAAGTAATATTATGTAAAAAGTGCATGAAATTTGATTGAAAGAAAATTGATACATCATCTGAGATTCGCAGATCGAGTGCTCGATATCACGTTCGCAGTGGCTGCAATAAGCTGTTGCAATTCGCACTCCGTTCCTGCAATACGCCCGACTGTTGGATGATTACTCTTGAAAGAGCGTTTCAAACGAAAACATCAGCCGGCCAATCCTTAGTCGCTTTGAACGAGTTTCTATTTTAATCGTAAATCCAATGTACAAAATGCTAATTAACATTTTGTTCTTGGAAATTATCATTTAAAGGATTGACAACTAGTTTATATACAATGTCAAAAGATATAACAAATTTTTATCTGAATAAGATAGCAAATAAAACTTTCAGTCCATATTATTGTTGAGAAAACAGACACATCGCGCTCCAAATAGCTACGACCGCCTCTTTGTCTCCATTCTCTATGGAATCTTTATCTTTGTGTTAGTTGTATTCAACTAGTTTTTACTTAATACCTAACTTATGATAATTAACACTAAATTAAAACGCCATAATATCCGTTAAAATATTTTAATTTTCATAGAATCAGCGTTGTATTATCCTAATGGTAGCACACAAGTTGTACACGCTGTTAGTTAGTACTATTCGATAGAAAGCAATTTTAATTCGTACACAGAAGTTTGCCTTTGTGTTTGTTTGTTTGTTGTTTAGAGTCGGTTGGTTTTAGTAAGTATGTTTGAAGACGATTCTTCCCGGGGAATGGGTTGGCAAACAGGTCGCGTGGGAGGCGTGCGGGACGTGCGGGGTGCGGGGCGGCGTGTTTGCCCGCTGCTCAGAGAGCGACATCGGATTCAGGGATTGCCTTCACATCGCTCAAGATTGCTTTTAAATTTACAAATGTTTGCATTTAATTTAGTTTCCTACTTGGAATTGAATAAAGTGTACTTTGGGATAATCTTTTCGGCGGTTTTATTCTTAATTGCTTCAAATAAACTAAATGAGTCAAATAAAATAATGTTTTAGTGCTTAAGCACTAATTATTAATATTTATTTATTAATTTATTAGATTTAGATTAATCTATAAATTCTGAGGAACGACTTTGAGAAAACATAACTTAAGTATTCTCTTGATAACATCAACACTAAAATGTGGCGCAACACATTGTGTGACTTTCAAAAATTAGCAAAATGCTAGCTTTCCACTTGCCGTAATCAGTAAAATATATTAAAAAGGATATTAATATGGCATATTACAAAAATTTTATTGGGTTTACAATTTAGAAATAAAATTCTAATGAAAACATCTAGAAGTTACAAGAGAGATAACACGTTTAGAAATAAATTGAAATTACAGAGCCAAAGCACAGTTTGAAAAGGTAATATCTTCTCATTAAAGTGTACCACAAAACTGTTAAGATTATGGTACAGTACAGGGCACTCTTCGCTCCTCCTGATGACATCAACTTTTGCAATAAGGTAAAGAGATTGTTGTCTCCGGGCGGCGCTGGGACGCTGCAGTACCTACAGAGCTGACAGTGCTGAGGCGCTGGCGAACCGCCAACTAACATAAATGCTATCTTTCCCAATGCAGGTACCTGATTAAGTTTTAAACTTTATTTTTTTCTCGGCATGTTAAAATAAAACAAAAAACTTTGTTATATCTAAGTCTAATGGAATATTGTTTTCATGAAGAAATGTCAATAAATGGTGAGTTTCCACTAGACATTACCAAATACAGGACTTGATACATAATCATCATTAAGATAAAATTGTAAAAACACGTTTAAGTGTTTCATCACAGTTAAATATCAATTACGGCATCAAGCATTTAAATCAACAAAACTTAAAACGAAAGTAGAATTAATTAACTGTTCTTCAATAAAAAAGAAAATATAAAAGTAAAGCTACATAAGACAGTTGTCGAAGGTATTATTGGTGAAGCAACAATGTTATTATATTTCCTCGAGCAAAAAGTTTCCCGTCGCCTCGTCGACGTCAACAAAGGAAACGAATTCAATATTAAAAGAGTAAGTACTAAAGGGAACACTTCCCAGTTCGACGGTATTCCAATATTTACATGATTTAAAAGCATCGCTGTCTCGTTGTGTGCCGTAGTACAGGGAACTTGTTTCTTTACCTCGTTACGAGTGCAAACGTTCGTCATAACTTTGTGCTAGAGGCGAGGGCTACTGGCAAAATAATGAACAATGCTTCAAAGAAATGCTACAAACTTTTACAATGTTTGCTATCACATAGATGTAGGACCACAATAGAACATCGATAATGTAAACTTTCAAAAAGGATTTTGGGGAATTAAATAATAATTACAACTAAAATAAGAAATCGAAATTATACAATAGTTAACATAAAAAATAAACTACGATTAAAAATTATGATACGAGACAAGATACATTTTTGCGATTTTGCAATGATCAAACTTTAAAACTTAAAACCGGAAGTTAAATAATCCCTAAGGCGTTGCTAAAGATAAATTTGACTACAGCTATAAATATGTATATGCGGGGTCATTATTATTCATAGGCAATTTTCTTGTAAAAGAGAATGCAATTTCTTATGTGGTTTATCGGGAAATGGTATATTACAAAGAAAATTCTTTCTAGACGTGAAGATAAGTATTAACTTGTTACAACCGCCCTGCTTTTTCCGACTTAACTGACAAACATAAATTTCGTCTTAATTTTTGACAGTTCTGGTGAAGATTAGGATAAGCTTAACATATTAAAGAGTACTTGCTGCTTGTTAGGGGTCCGTAGGAAAGCTATTTAAAAAAATAAGGTCGGGAATTACAGTAACTCAAGGTCACATGGTTAAAATATATCGAAACAGCAGAGGACAATGTGTACGAACATAGTGGTTAGGTAAAAATTGAAGTAAAATTAACGTGACTCATGTTGGACACATATATAAAAGTAGACTAAGAAAATAAATGGAATTTATCTGGTTTTAAATTGAGTTAAAGGCAGCTAACGGAAGAGATATGTAGCAAAGTAGGGAAAATGATACGGCTATTACGAGATCCGAGCGGGGTTAATAACGTCGATAAGGAATTGGCCGCTTTCATCCCGCTGCCGTTGCCGCGGCCGCGGCCGCCGGTGCCGGCTGCCGGTTGCCGGCTGCGGGGGATCGATCAGACCTCGCGCCTGGCAGCTCGCCAGCCGCGCCCGTCACCTCTCTAATTACACCTAACTACCGGACACATTCAGCGTATTATGTAACCAGGATTTTATAAAGTGCACTGTCCTTGCATTCGTCCGATTTACTTATCTTATTATTTCAACAGTTTCGTTAATTTACTTTTTGACACCATTTTTCATTTGTAGTTAGATTTTAAGAGTATTTTGTGAATATGTAAATACCTTGACAACCTCTTAATATTCTTTTTATATTCCATTTAAAAATACGCTGAAGATTTTATCCGTCCGTCAACAGACTTTACTCACTTACTTAAATCAAATGAATGAGAAACCTGTAAAGTCTATGTTAATCATAGATCATTCATTATTTACAATACAATTAGGAGCATGGAAACTGTATCTAAATTTAACAACAATTTGGATTTTGGTCGAGTTCTGGACTTGCTATTATAAAAAGATAAACTTATTTCATTATCAGACGATTTATGTGAAGTTGAACGCGCGCCAACTTTTGCGCAAACCTTGCAATGTTAATATCGTTTAATTCAGTAGCATTATCTGCCCAAAAATATTTACTCTAGTAATTTATATACCACATTAAGTTAAGTTCACGTTTCATTCTTTTGTTGCACCAAGTTAAACGAACACTATATAACAGTTAGTTTGGGAGAGAGAGAGGTAGTAATTCAGTTTGACAAAGATTTTGTTTAAGTAGAAGACGGCGACGTAGGCAAATAAGCAGCTCGTACCTAATAGATATTAAAGAGTACTTGCAGATATATTTCCAACAACATCCCAGATTTTTGTCAAAATGTGTGTATTTCTAAAAGTTTCACGATTACAATAAATGGATTATTATTTCAATTTCAGTCATGGGGTTTTGTTCGAATACCCATTTCCACTTTTAGCCATTTCCATGAAATAATAAAAACTCTGACGTAGAATAAAAATTAAAAAAGACGAGCTTTAGAATGGCTGTAATTAAGCTCTGTTACAATCCTGCGACCTAGTTCACAATATTTTTACAATTAAAACTGGCGTGAGCACTGACCGTGATTCGTTTGAGTTGCCTCTTGCCCTTGTGCCAGGTGAGGAGCGCGGGCGGGCGGCTGCCGGCGGACTCGCAGGCCACCTCGTAGCGGCGCTCCGCCGTCAGCTCACCCCCCTCGCCCACCTGCGCCGGCCGCCGGATCTCCACGGTGAGCGGCCGCACTGCAATACCAGCTGTCTCATTAAACCAGTTCGCGAATGAAGCACTTCAACTGTTAAACAGCCGCTCCCGGCTTTGTTGCGCTCTCAATTGCAGCTGTTTTGGAAGTATCATTTCGTAATTGAATACACGTTGAGAGTCGGTTTTTTATGCGCAGACTTTTTCAGCGATACGTCTAGTTGCCGCGAGATGCAATTATGAGCAAAGTTATTTAGGTTACGTACTACATTGTACACTGATTAAGGACATGACGTAGTTATGCATTGCGTACCCACTAGATTTATACGAATTTATAACTTACAAAACATATCCAGCACTAGGGAAAGCTCCTTGGGTGGCACGAGATGTGAGTTGGCGGCCTGGCAGGTGAAGACGGCGGCGTAGTCGGCGCGGCGCACGGCCGGCCATAGCAACCGGTTTTCGATAACATCGCCTGTGTTGTGCTCGTACTCCTCGTCCACCAGCACACCGTTCACTAGCCACCGCACCGATGGTTCCGGGCGACCTGCGCCGACACAACATCAAGCAAACCTTAAATTCCCGAAAACAATGCATCTATTCTCCCCTACCTTAATTTTATTACAATTCTAATAATTTACAATATATTACATTATACTCGCATCGGGAGGAACGTTTCGTTATTCTGTCTTAGTAAATGGTTTCTTTTTTATTTTCTTTTTGAATAAAATGCAAACTGGATGATCTCAGATATGAACTACTCGAAAGAGATCTTATTTTTAGTTCATTGACTAACATTGTCACTTTACTAGACTACTCTAATAGTCCAAAACTTGATTTTGATTCTAAACTGCTTAAAGGCATCTAAAGTATCTAAAATCTGATTAAAAGCGATTCCAAAAGGAAAGTTGACAACTTTATCGTACGTCATCAGACACCCGTCAGTTACGCGGGAATTATTTTTTGCGAGCCGTCTCCACGACGTTGGCCGCAATCAATGTTTCGATTATGTAAATTCCCATCCCCGAGGGTCTAATCTTGTTTTGATATTTATTCAAAAAATATCGACTTTATTTTTACGGGTATTGAAAAAGATATATTTTTATTTTTTATCTCCCTTAAAATAAAATAACTTAATGTTAAATTTATAAAAATAAGAAGTGTTACGTCGTTGAACAAATGTGTTACGAGTATGTGGGCTTGCATTATCGAACTCTCCTCTTGTGCTTCATTTTAATAGAATGGGTTATTTGTCTAAGCTGATATTTGGTGTTGTGATGTCGTGAAAAGTAGACGTTAAATGGAATAGTGTTCACCTCCGAGCACCCGGCAGGTGAGTAGCACGTCGTCGCCCTCCTCGTGCGGGCCGAGCGTCGTAGTATTGATGATGCGCCCCCACCGGTCTACCACGACCGGCTTCTCCGGAGGCACTGCAATACACTTACTGGTGTAGTTGTAGCCTTGAATATTTTCGAGATGTAGCTGTGATATTTAAGAAAAAGTCAATGTGCTGTTCCTCTTTTTTTTTGTAAAGTTTTATCTTTTTATTTTATTTTGACTCTCAATTTGCAGCAACAAACGCAACATGAAATCAGTCGTCCATAAATGGACGACAGGCTGTTACGCAAAGCGCGAATTCGAGTAACGAATTCCAAAATCCGAGGAGGAATCGAAGTGAAAACGAACCGAGAATATAAAACAGGCAAAATAAATGTTCCGGCCATAAGGCTGATTGATCAAATTTCAATAAAGGAGCGTCGAGAGAGTGAGCAGAGAATAAAACGACGTTATTTAATTAAAGGGACAAGTGGCACGAAGACGACCTGCTCTCCTTCCAGGAGGGACTCCACGTCGAATGCTGAATATGAATTCAAAATTAACTATAAACTATAAAAAACTATTCGTCGGCACAATCATTTTTATTTTCAGATAATTTAGTGGACATTGAAATAACCTTTCACAGTACAATATTCTGACAAATAGTTTAGAAGATATCACGATCATAAAATGATAAGCGTGACCAAATAATCAGCTCTCGGGCAAGATGCGCCCGTTTTTACAAGGTTTTTACTAATAGACGGGGCATAACTGAAAAGGGTACTACTTATATGACTGAAAAGAGATCAGACGTATCTTTGCCAACCGAGCGAAGCCGGGAAGGGTCGCTAGTATTTAATAATTCAATTTTTGATAAGCGATAGATGTCCAAGCTAAAACCTAATTGGTTGTGTCGAATCGAAATAACTGTCTAAAATGATTATCGTTACATTTGGGAATTGACCCGCGGACGCACAATTCCCACGAGGATTAACTAACTGGACAGTATCACGACTAAATCCGAATAACATTTATAAAAGCTCAACTAAAAGCTAGCATAAAATATAAAATGGCCACAATTAAAATGAACGCATGGCGGTAGAGTAAATAAAGTCACATATATCTATCGGTAAAAAGCGAGGGAATTATTGAGACGGATAAATTGATTTGCGCGCAAGAAGCGAATATGCCGTCGTGTCAAAATTTAATTAATCACAGTTAGCGTCGGAGTAACGAGTAGATACGTAACGATGGGTCTGATCAAATTATTGAACATTTCATAGCGGTGTTAATGAATATGAAGCACCTCGGCGCAAGTCGACGTCGCGTCGGCCGGTGATTGAATATTCTGCAAGAAACTTTAACGACTACAATGCTCTGACACCCAGAGGACTTGTTTAATTATACATTTATATGAATTCTACAACTGTAAAGAGACCCAACTAATTAGTTTTGGGACTTGCGACGATAAACTACACTCGAAATTTGATTTACTTATTTAAAGTTTAATCAAAAACTTGAGCGTCTTGCGTCTCGGGTTCAACGATAACTATCATTTGTATTTGAATTATGAAAAAGGATGTAACTGAGGCTTGTATTTCAATCTAGTATCATTTCAACTAAACTTTTAAGGAGTAACATGGACGATACATAAAATTGACGAAGCTGGTTGGTATGTTTACCGACGACGGTGAGGTTGTATCGGAAGCTGGTGGTCTGCGTGTTGCGGAAGTCGATGCGGCAACGGTAGACGCCCTCGTCGCGTCGCTTCACGTCGCGCACGAGCAGCGCGGCGGGTGGCGGCGAAGTGGAGAAGTGCGCGCGCGGCCCGAATACCTCCGGCGCGGACCAGTGCCGCGCCTCTGACAGATGCTTGCCGCGTACGTCGAAGCTGAAACAACGCATCATGCTTTATATTGACAAGGAAAGACATAAAATAAATAAATGAGCTAAGAGCTCTTTATCTCGATTTTTGAGAAAAAAAACACTCTACACAGCTGGATGGCTTCAAAATTGGAGAAAGAATTGGTAAAACATACATATTCAACAAATTGCAATTGAGAAACCAAAGAAAAGTATTAAGAATCCTGTACCAAAATAAAGTTATTTTGTATCGAGCAATCATACCGTAAGCGAACTACAATAAGAGAAATGCCATCGCCATATTTTAGTGCAAAATTTTCGATCAACAAATTTCTGAGCTAAGTTACGAATGGCTTTCATTTCAAATGGACAAAATCGCATCACACGGGCACAATATCTGCCACCGCCGCCGCCGTCGCCGGCCGCAGACCGCGCCTCTGTTCAACCAGTTTCACGTTGAGATATTTCTGATATTGGCCGGTAGTCACAAATAGCTATTGTATGTAAGCTTCTCAGGTATGGTCGCTGGCTATCGACGATATTTTAGGTTTACTATCGAGATCTGAAAATGTCAGAAGCGAATAGAATCATTTATCCGATACCAGACGTCGACACGTACAAAAACTTTCCTTTGACATTCCATCTTGATAGAATATCGACGAGGGATCACGGAAATAAATTTAAAAGTTATTTAGTTTTTGTTACTGTTTTTTTGTGACTTTGCGCCTTCACTACTGAATGATGGAGAGTTTCAACATCATATTTCTAGGCTACCATGATATGTCATGGTGACGGTGAGGTGACTTCTAAATTGTTGAACCCTGAGAGATCGGAAACATTTTATGACAGAACAAAACATAAATACTGTAATCATACATATTCAATTAAATGCTATAAGTCAAAGCACGTATTATATATTTCGTGCACATTTATTCCTGCTGCTACAAATTTTCATGTCATCGTAAAGTAATAACAATGACGATAAATTAAAATCAAGACAGGTGAAATTCGAACCTTCGTGTCAGTTATGAAAAACGTAACCTTTGTAATGTTTGATGCCCCCCCCGCATCCCGCGCCCCTCGCCCCGCGCCCCTCGCCCCGCGCCCCGCGGCGCCGCAGCGTGCGGGCACGGCCGCCGGGTCCCTGTTTGCGCAAACCGTCGCCGCTTCAATTTAATCCGTCATCACTCATAACATTTCGACGACCCAAAAAAATATTGAATAGTTTATGGGAAGGCCGCAACGGGAATTCGTATGGCATGAAAATACGGGTACTCGGATCCCTGGCAAATTCGCAGACTATAAAAAATATTATTTTCCTGCACAAGTATTCTTCGTGAAAATTTTCGATTACTGTGTAACGCAATATACATCTTGTGTACGAGTACGTAATTTGTAATTTCTTATTTGTTTCATATTTTTGTATTATATGTGATCGATGTGTCTTCTTGTACGTGTAGGTAGCTATCTATATCATAATCAGGAATGTAATGGCACATACGTTCTTTTAACGATTTCGATACGTAATCAATGCGGCATTCGAACTCAAAATAACGTCAGCACAATAACTGATTTAACGTAAATAGTTACGTTGCCAAACCAATCTGGTCCACTAAGTGATGCTTCTAAAATTTCCAAGACTATCCAATTCAAAGGCTTTCTCAATATGTTAATGACATTCAACAACATTCCATTTATAGTGTAGCAATTGTATTTACAGTTATTTGTGTTTCCGCACGACCAGAGACCACAGGGTTGCCACAAACGCTGACGTCACAGCAGGGCAGGGATGCCATCAATCAATATATTAAGTTTACTCGAAGTCTTACTATACACAGATATAAATTAATAACAATATCTTTTTATTTAAATTTCAAAATTGAAAATGTATAAATAATGCTTTTGACGAAATTATTTTATGTTGAATGCTGTTTTGTATATTGTGTAAGAGCAAGAGTTTTCCACTAAAATAATAAAAGCTCTTACGAAGGCCCGTAAGTAAGCCTTGCCCTTTGGTTAAGCTTCATCTTTTATGATTTCTCTGGCGGATAGAAAAGTAAAGTCCTTTTATTTCGACAAAGAAATGTTTGATTATGTTTCTTTTTCGAAAGTAACACAATGCGAACTTATTTACACTAGCATCGAATTATGTGAACTAATTGTTTTATGATACCTTTATTTATTTACTCATGGATGAAGACCGATTTAATTTGACTTAAAGTTTTACAATGTCCTCACGTTGTTTTTTAGTTCAAGAATACAAATGGAAAGTAAAGAAATGAGCATCGAGCAATGTAGATGTAGCGACTAGAAAACACATCAAAGCATAAATATCTGCAAGTTTGTGCTGCGCTGACAGTTGACGTGAAATATTTTGCCAAGTTGGATGCGTCTGTTTCTACTTGTACTGCTTTACTTATGCACGATGTTTGTCGACGCTTGCAATGGTTATCTTACATTAATTTAACCCCATTTATGAATAGTATTGTAACAAGAGAGGTTTCCAGATTGTTTTGCGTACAAGAAGTTATAGTCCGGAGATTCAATGAGTTGGTTTGATTAGAACGCGAGAACATTAATTACATTCATGCATTATTCCGATATTATATAATTATTATAACTCTTCTTCATAAAAGGTCGTCAGTTTTGGACCAACCGCTATTCGGTAAATAGTCGCGGACGCGCGACAGTCGCGCCGCGATGCCTATTGCACCTCTCAAATATTCTACTACATTCAATTTTACTGGAATTAGAGCAGCGACTATAAAATCAATGTATTTTATGAATAATTTGCATTATTTTAACAGCCAACATTTACCTAGCAGGCCGCGACAGGTTTAGGTTTAATTCAATACATCAAAAGCAGCCGGCGTGTCGACAGATTTATGAAGGCAAAGTATGAACGAAAACACTAGCAAACTTTTTTCTGCTTTTGTGTAAAATACGACGAGGTGCTATTTTTTTGGAATATGTGCTTACCGCACTAATACGCGACGAGTCCCAAAGAGAGAATTCTCGATTTCCCAACTTTTTTCACTTCTATTGCCTGACAAACGATGTATCATAAATGTTTTTTTTTTAGATTATTTAATTAAGAAATGCTTGCTATAAACAAAACTTGATAATTTACTTAATTTGATATCTCCCAATTTCGCTGCGGTCACGACAGCTGAATGCATTGATGTAATTCCTCAAACATCGCATCAGTTTTATTTTTCTGTTAAAGTATTAAATCTTATTGGATAATTTACGTGTACATAATACAAAAGCTTATAAATTTCCCTCCGCAAAGTCAAATATTGCTTCATACCTGCCTTGTTCAACAAGGTTTTTAAGTTTGTAAAATGTTGTTGCCTGCCAGCGATGTCTTTCAAAGTTTCATTGAATTTTCTCACAGTCTTTTGAATCTTTCATTTCAAAGTTATAATACTATTTAATAATACACTTTTAAACTTAACTTACACTTTTAATAATATTTTACAGGCTAAATACAAATTTTATATTTGTCAACTTGTTGAATTTTGCAAGAAATAATTTTAAAAGCTTATTTACAATTTAAGTAGTACTATTAAACTCAAATACAATAATTAAGGCAGACTTAAATATTATATTTAAAAAGATTAAACACAACTATATGTATTGTGCTAGGATTGGATTTGTCAGCATAATGTGTTTTGAATAAATTAAATATTTCGTGGAAATTGATTGCATATAAAAAAAATACTTCTTAAAAATGTAGTAAATGATATCAGAACAATGTGTGATGTGTATTTGATTCACATTTAAACATTTTCTCCCTTTATTTTTGTACCTCTATAAATCTGTCACAAAGATGGCTGCCTTTGATATATTGGATTAAATCAAAAACTTATTGCAGCTCCACTCTATGCCAACTAACTGGAATCCTTTCTTGATACAGCCGGATTGTAAACGACGCATCGTTTTAAGATTAATTGAAGATAACAAACATACATTAAGTTAATAGTTATCGGATATATTTCAAAAACAGATCACAGAAACTAAATCGTTTTTGTAAAGAGGACTTCTATTTACATAATCGTTCAAGCAAATCTATTGTAGAAGATGCTAACGTATAAAATCTTATTTATATAATATAGCGCCAATATAAAAGCAAATAATACAATACAATAGTTGAGGAGTGTTTGGTGCGGGAGCTCAGTGAGGCGACTCGTTTGCGAGCTTTACAAATTCTCGGTGCGGTTGCAATTTTTTGACTGTTCCATATTTTGAAACGTGAAAATGTTGAAAGTGCTGAGTGATACAGTGATAGAGTGAGGCGCGGGCGCGGCTTCATTCAATGGATCTCCTATCTGGTCTATTTGTTTTCATCGAAAATGAAACTTTTTCGTATTGTTGTATGAAAGTATCGCGATACTGAAACTGGGACTCAATTCTCTGCTCCTATATTCTGGATTGATTACGAACTTTGATCTGTATCTATGATATTATTTACAAAATGTTAAAACACATTTTTTACTTTTAACAGAAAAATGGTTAAAGATTATTACACATTTTATTAAATTTTTAATTTCATTTCAATTTAGAATATAAAATGTTTCGTTAATGGAATTTTATTCTAAATTGTTACCGTGAAGTATTGACCATGAAATGATCGATTTAGTGCGTCATTACAAAAATTATATGTTAGATTAGTATCTATCTAGAGCTAGTGCTCTCGCCTGTGACGCCGTCCACGCTGTAATATAAAAAAAACTTAATTTCTACATCTGTGCCAAATTTCAGCGTGATCGATGCAGCCGTTCTGGAGATATCTTCTAACAAACGTCAATCCCAATATCCGTATTTATAATATTAGTAAGGTTAACCAGAGTTACGTAAACACGAAATACAATGACGTAGGAATAGACGTCTAGTGTACGAAGCCAACTAAATCATTAATGAAAGCGATTTGAGCCGCGGACTGACAATTACTTATAGGTACATTTAGCTCACGATTTATGACATAGGATCATGTTTAAGTGGTCAACCGTCCGCTGTTATTTGACG